ACTCTAAATTGCCCCAAATGGAATACTCTAATACCCCACAGATTATTTCTCTCCTGATCATAACATTAAGTCCTGCATGCCCTTAACTACTCTGTGCTGGCAGGAAGGTAATAAAGTGAGTAAGAAAGAAAATACGATCATCTCACAGTCTGCATTTATCATCCGTCTAAGAAGTGACTCTTAGTTCTGTGGCCTGCAAAGAATCCTGCAGGTCAAAATGTACAGTTTTTTAATTCTTGTAATTCTTCTTTTCTTTTTCCTACAGACATAGAATCATAGAATAGTTAGGCTTGGAAAGGACCTGAAGATCATCTAGTTCCAACCCCCCTGCCATGGGCAGGGACACCTTACACTAAATCATATCACCCAAGGCCTCGTCCAACCTGGTCTTGAACACTGCCAGGGATGGAGCATTCGCAACCTCCCTGGGCAACCCATTCCAGTGCCTCACCACCCTAACAGGAAAGAATTTCCTCCTTAGATCCAATCTAAAGTTCCCCTGTTTAAGTTTTAACCCGTTACCCCTTGTCCTGTCACTACAGTCCCTAATGAAGAGTGCCTTTCCAGAATCCCTATAGGCCCCCTTCAGATACTGAAAGGCTTCTATGAGGTCTCCATGCAGCCTTCTCTTCTCCAGGCTGAACAGCCCCAACTTTCTCAGCCTGGCTTCATATGGGAGATGCTCCAGTCCCCTGATCATCCTCATGGCCCTTCTCTGGACTTGTTCCAACAGTTCCATGTCCTTTTTGTGCTGAGGACACCAGAACTGCACACAATACTCCAAGCGAGGTCTCACGAGAGCAGAGTAGAGGGGCAGGATCACCTCCTTCGACCTGATGGTCACGCTCCTTTTGATGCAGCCCAGGATACGGTTGGCTTTCTGGGCTGCGAGCGCACACTGCCAGCTCATGTTCATTTTCTCATCAACCAACACCCCCAAGTCATTCTCCGCAGGCCTGCTCTGAATCTCTTCTCTGCCCAACCTGTAGCTGTGCCTGGGATTGCTCCGACCCAGGTGTAGGACCTTGCACTTGGCATGGTTAAACTTCATGAGGTTGGCATCAGCCCACCTCACAAGTGTGTCAAGGTCCCTCTGGATGGCATTCCTTCCCTCCAGGGTATCAACTGAACCACACAGCTTGGTGTCATCAGCAAACTTGCTGAGGGCGCACTCAATCCCACTGTCCATGTCACCAACAAAGATGTTGAACAAGACCGGTCCCAACACCGATCCCTGAGGGACACCACTCGTTACTGGTCTCCAGCCGGACATTAGCAACCTGTACAGTTCCCTGCATTGGAATCTTCCTTTCAGATTGGTAAAAGCAATAAATACAGTTGTTGAAATGTAACCTCTTAAAAAGAAGTTGCTAGTCATTAATGACAACTTACACATGCAAATTTCACAGTGTTTGGATGTGGAATTTTGTTTCAGGCCAGTATACACATTTAAAGGTATTTAGGGAAGGTATAATGTCTTTTGAAAACAAATCAGTAACTGTATAAAAATATTAATAATTACATCTAGACATAGGAAATACAAAATAGTTGTTTGCAATCTCACCAGGATTAATATTATACCAAACATATTTCAAAAAGCCATTTCTCATTTCACAAAAGGGGATGTCGGAGTCTTTGCTGCCTCTGAACTACTGTCCTCTGAGTTCAAAGAGGAACTGTTAAACTTTGGATCTGTGCCTGGACTTTTTTTTCCTGGTATCATGAAAGGATGTGAATACTAATCCCAATTAAACAAGAAGTCAGCATGTTCCACAGAATTAAAGGCTGAACTGTGATTCAGGAGAGAGGTGAGCTGCTCCTGCTTTTACTGGTGAGGTGCCATGCCACTTACAAAGGTCATGCTGGCTGGGCTTCTCCTATTTTTTACCCATCAATCTGATATTAGCTTGAGGGCCATCACTACGCCTCCTCTCAGTATATTGAGCCAAGGTAGCAAACACCACAAGCAATGCATTTTTACAGAATAAAGAGTGTATTTACATGTATTACATATTTAATATCCTTTCATAATAAAGCCAACTATTGGGAGCTTCTACACAAACATAAACTTTAGATGGCTGGTATTAAATTTTCTAAAGATTGATATAAAGTCAGTTTAAGAGAGAGATGGAACAGAGAATGGCTGGCATAAACCATGCGATCCCCAAGAAGAGCATGCTTAAAGAAGAAAGGACTGTAAAGTGGATATGGGTGCCTTGGGACAACTGTACCAGGTAACAACGTTGCAACAGTGAGTGTTTATTGATGACTGCACAGTACATCAGTATGTGTCAAAGGGCAGTGCATAGGGCGCTCTCAGCCTACTATACGTAGGAACATGACCAGCCTGACAGAGTACAACACTTTCAAGAGTATCTACATCATTAAAGGAGAAAAAATCCCACTGATCTTGAACAAGTCTCAAATTATGCCACAGTCTCCATCTGATTGTCTCAATCCTTTTAGTTGAAGCTGGGTCCATAAATGAATGAGTTGGTTTGTATAGAGATTGGTCAGGTCAATATCCACGTTTGCTGTTGGAGTCAAATGCGAAGTCTCTGTCCTGTGCTCCATTTCATTGTGGAGACATACCCTTGAACTCCTTTGTTACTTACATACTTCACCATTAAAGATGTAGGAATCTTCAGTGGAATATAATCTGCTGATTAGATCATGCTATGCCTGACAGAAGCTATGGAAGAAATAGGATATTTGCACAGAAAACAACTCAGCAGACATATGGGAATAAAGAAATGCCAGCCATTCATTGAGACTTTACCTGCTATGCCTAATTTTGCAGAGAGGTATGGAAAGAATTGAAAGGTTAAAAGGAAGGGCAACAAGTATAAGTAGCTTAGTTCTTAAGTTCAGTAATGAATGGAAGCCATGAAAATTATGGAAAGCCACAAAAAGTATTTATTGCAAAACAGGAACTTGCAGGTCTGATAATGTTGCCCCTCATAAGGATGAAATTCTAGAACAGATGTCCCACAGGAAAGCTACTGCAGGAAAGGACTTAATAGAGGGCATGAATGAAGTACTGTGCTTCAAGGAGTACAGGAATGAACCCAGCCTCCTAGGACTGTTGTTTTTCAAAATGTGAGACTCTGTTTGAAGATGAAAATTAATTTCCAGTCAGATGGAACAGAATCAGTTATGATTTAGGGGAATGTTTGTTTTTTCCCCATGTGGTTGAGCAATGATTCAAATAGACTGACATTAATAGAAACAACTAGTGTGTATTTAAGAAGCAATTAGAGGACAGAACTTAACCAATAAACCCAGTTTGGTACGGGAGACGGGTATGCATATGCAACATGATCTCTTATGTGACTAAAATTCATGTTCAAAAATATGATGTTTCTGTTTGTACTGCTGTCAGGTGATCATTATATGAGGAAATATGCCTATTTGCTTTTTTGTCTCAGTAAGCTGCACCACTGTTACAGTTTGTTTTCATAGTATATATTCCTTTCAGTCATCAGTTGTGAAGATCATAAGTAATGGTCCTGCAGAAGGAAACCTGTTTCTGTTCTGATCTCAAAAAAAAACAACCCAGTACATTCTACTTCTTTTGTCCTATTTTCTTTTCACCTTGCACACAGCTCATGAGCCAGTACTCTCTTGTTCCATTAATGACATTCCAGCTAAGTCCTCCCTCTACTTCTGTCTCACTTTCACAGTGGTGGTAATTTCTACTCCCGTGCCAACACTACATCTTGTATATTCTGCAGGAGAAGTTGAAGCCACACTCCTGGACGTGGCCTAAATGAAGGGGTCACTGTAAAAAGTGTGGAGGCCACAACCCTTCTTCAGAACAGAAGCGACAGAGATGAACTCCCACACTTACTCAGTGGCTCCCTTATCCTCATTGAGGGCCTCCGTCCCTCTTTAGAAGGGGCAGAGTTCTGTGGTGTGAAGAGGAACCTCAGAACTGCAGAATGGCTGAGACTGGAAGGTATGTCTGGAGATCACCTTGTTCAAATGACCTGCTCAAGCAGGGCCACCCAGAGCAAGTTCCCCAGGACTGTGTTTAGGTGAGTGTCTCCTGGTCTGGAGACTCTACGACATCCCAGGGCAACCAGTGCCAGTGCTCGGTCACTCTTACAGCAAAAAGTGTTTCCTGTTGTTCAGAGGGAACTTGCCATGTTTCAGCTTGTGCTGTCACTGGGCACCACAGAAAAAGACTTGGCTCCATCCTCTTTACATCTTCCCTTTAGGTATTTGTACATATTGATATGATCCCACTGAACCTGCTCTTCTCCAGGCTGAACAGCCCCAGCTCTCTTAGCCTTTCCTTGCAGGAGAGGTGCTCCAGTCCTTTAACCATCTTCATGGCCTTGTGCTGGACTCTCTCCAGTACCTCTACAGCTCTCTTGTACTGGGGAGCCCAGAACTGGACACAGCATCCCAGGTGTGGCCTCACCAGTGCTGAGCAGAGCAGCAGGATCACCTTTCTCCACCTGCTGTTATCGCTTTGCCTAATGCAGCCCGGTACCATTCATGTTCTTTACGGCAAGGGCACATGGCTGACTCACGGTCAGTTTAGTGCCCACCAGGTCCCACAGGCCCTTCTCTGCCAAGCTGCTTCCCAGCTGGTGGCTCCGAGCCTGTCCCCATGCCTGGGCTGCTCCTCTCTAAGGGCAGGGCTTTGTCCTTCCCCTTGCTTGAAGCTGCCCCCACCGGGTGTCCCCGCGGGTACAGACCTCCTGTGCCTAGCCCGAGGGGCAGCGGGAGATGCGGAAGCCCTCACCCAGGCGAGGGGAGCAGCCCGCAGGGGAGGCGAGGAAGACGCCTGGAGGACCGGGGAGCAGAGGCCCGGGGGACATCAGTCTGGGCTGCAGCTCCCGTGGTCGCCCGGTGCCCTCTCCACTATCCGCCACCTTTACCCCTCGCCCACCTCTCCTCGCCTCGCCTCACCTCGCCGCGCCGCTGGGACAGCGACCGGCTCCCGGGGCCCGCCCGGCGCTCCTGCTCCACCACACGACGACACCCGCGGGAGGGGGGAGGGCCGAGGCACGGCGCGGAGCGCAGGCAGCCCGCCTCGCCCCTCGCACAGACACACGCACACAGGGCTCCTTGCAGGGCTTCCGCCCATGGCCGACAGGAGCCTTATCGAGGGCGACGAGCCCTTCCACCGCAGGGAGGAGGCTCCGGAGTGGGGTTACGAGGAAGGTGAGGAGCGGGCGGCGGCGGCGGCGCTGCTGGGGACAAACTTTCTCCGTGGCCGATAAGGGGAGGAGGAGGTGGCCGTGACAGGACTTGGGTAGCGAAGCAGAGGAAAATCGGCCTCTGGCCGCCCCGAGCAGGGAAACGCCGGCCCGCAGCGGGCGGCGGGTCCGTGGCCGCCTGCGGGAAGGCAGCGAGGGGCGGCGGAGGCGCAGCGCTATCTCCGGTGGGTAGCAGCGGGGCGGGCGGCAGGGTCCGGCTGTCCCGGAAGCCGCCGGTTGTCCCCGTTAACATCTTTCCCTTGTGCCTCAGGCGTGGAGTGGGGGCTGATTTTCCCCGATGCTAACGGGGAGTACCAGTCGCCTATTAACCTGAACTCGAGAGAAGCTAAATACGACCCCTCGCTCCTGGAAGTTCGTCTGTCACCAAACTACGTAGTATGTCGTGACTGTGAAGTGATCAACGATGGGCATTCGATTCAGATTGCCCTGAAGTCAAAATCAGGTACGGTGAAACACGGCCTTTGCTTTCCCCCTAAACCTTGGGTTGCCTTGAGACCGGCTGTGCTTGTGTCCCGGAGTATGGGAACAGCAGCTGCTCCCAGCAGCTCGTTCGACATGGGCTGTGCTGGTAAGAGTGTTGCTGTTGACTTCAGTAGGAGAAGGAGCAAGCTTTGCAATGGGAGATGCAAGTTTCAGTGCCAAACTCCGGATGATGGTCAGCCAGATTGCTTCAGAGCATGCCTAGAATTTCCTCTTATAGTGGTGTCATCTAATTCACTGGCACTAACAGCTGTCTGCAGTCAGAAGAAGCAGTCCAGACTACTGCTAAGACAGTGTGATGCCCAACTATTGTACAGCTGGAAAAATTTGGCCTTGGTCCAAAGACTGCACAAGTTAAAAGAACTTTTTCCATTGATGGGAGTGGGTTCTGAATACTAACTACGGAACTGGGCAGCTTAAGCTAGATACTCCAGTTATACATGCTTACAATATTGATGAAGAGCAGGTAGCAAAGCAGTCCTCATTTCTTAAAGGGTTTTTTTTTTGGTGTCATTCATCAAATGAGAATCAGAAGCAAATAATAAAAATACCAATTCCTGCTTAAGTGAAATTGCAGTGTCTCATTGAGATCTTTCATCTGGGTAAACTCTTCTGTGTGAAGGAGACAGCTGTCAAGAAATTAGGGAGAAAAAAAGTCTGTTGTGCTTTCCAGCACTGTGGTAGTTCTTACCATGCGTTTGTAAGAGCATCCAACTTATTCTAACCGGTATTAGCTAGTAACAGCCTTCTGGGGGCATTTAAACAGCTGAACATTGTCAAACCATGAGGCATTTGAACTTTTGTTTCCTTTGGAGATCCCAGTAGTCCTTGGAGCTACAGCTGTGCTGAGAGTGAGGGAGTCAGTTCAGTGTTACAATGAATTTTTTAAAAAGGAAGGGTTTCTTATTTTATTGATGGTGATGCTTTATTTTACATTTTCCTTTCTATGACAAATTCCATGTATTATTCTAACACAGAATATTTCTTTCCATAAAATTGCACAGATTTCCAACAGGACAGAAATTTTGTTCTTCCAGTCAGTTTTACTGCCTTCATCAGAAGCAGAGCTCTTTTCCCAGGGATTAAGGTTCTCTCTGCAGGATCTGGAAGGTTCTTAAATTCTCCTGTGGAGGAAGTGAGAGTGACTGCAAACAACATGATAATTTGCATGCCACAGTGCAACTCCTTGAACCCTACCTTCCCAAGGGCAGTTTGTAACTTAGTGGGACCAACACACCAAAATGCATGTGCAAAACCATTGGAGACTTAGGAGAGGGAAGTGCTTCTTTTTAAACTTGAAGGTAGTGTGATGCCAGACTGACGCATCCTCAAATATAAGAAAATGTGAGATAGAATAAAAGTTTACAACAGAAGTATGGAATTATGATTTAGGAAATCTTGTTTTAATTTCAGCTTTCCTTTAGATTCCATGTTCCATAATGTTTCATTCTCCATTTGTAAACTGGGGATAATTTTTCCATTTCTTTGAGGGGGAAGACAATGTTATCCCAGCCAAGAAGAGAAGAGTTAATAAGCTGTGTTTGACCTAGTATTTTGGCCAATTTTCAGGGATTGCGGAAAATCCTGCAGCTTCTTTTCCTCACAGGGGATCTCTGATGACAAATCCATTTAGCCAGATTATTTTAATGGGAACTGTAGAGCACTAAATACTTTTGAAATTCTGTCCAATTAATGTGCAAGAGATCCTCATCTATTGTAATGCTAACAGTCAATGCAAAACTTCTTTGTGGAAAAAAATAAACTGATTAAGATACATATTAGAAATCAATTTGTCATTACTGGTGATTGATTTTATCCTTTAATTCAGGACACACAGTCCATCTGGAATTCCCAAATCCTTCTCATTATTTAATTGCAAACATTTTTGCAGGCTGCCTCCAGTTTGATCATCGTACATGTGTTATGCATTAGGTGGAAGAAGCATGACCAACTGTGTAATGGAATTGTGTACTGAAAAATACTTTAGAGAAAATCCTACTAACAAAGAACCTTCTCCTAAGCCAGCAGTGGATTGCACAGTGGATGATGGTTTCAGAATAATTTTCTACTGAGGATCAAAACTTGCTGAAAGGCAAAGTGAAGTTAAACATTTTTCATGCATTGACAAGGATCAAGATTGGAGGAGAGGCAAAGGAGAGATAAACATGCTTCATGCATTGAAATACATTTATCGCGGGATCAGTGTTATAATTTAAGACTCAGAAATAAACTCTTTGAAGCTCCTGGAGTTCCAGAACTGCATCATATAGAGAACATTTATTCTGGTTGCACCGTCTCTAGGAACAGGATTTTAAAACAGAGAAAATGTTCTGTTGTCCTAAGAAATAACACTAAAGAATATCATCTTTCTTTTTATTTGTTCAGATTTCCCCAAATACTTCAGTTTGTTGTTTCCCTCAATGTTCACCAGATCTGTAGGTTTTCCCTGTAGGATATAGGTACAAATAGAATACAGATGTAGCAAGTTTAATCTGGATCTATAACTACATTTGTAGCTGGTTAGATGAGTTATGAAAAATTATTAAAGGAGGATTAATTGGAATATTTTACTTGTTTCTCCAGTGTAATTGCTTATGAAACCTGTAACTGATCAGTTTTCTTTCAGTTTTTTTTTATAGTTCTGTACATTTGCTTTTGTGTTTGTACAGTTGCAATATGTTTTCATTGTTAAATTATGTTTTAGTTGTGTACTGTGCCTTGTGCTCTAAACTAAGGCTGTTTAGTTTTGTGTGTCAAAAGAACTTTATGTTATGTAACTTTAATTCCCTAAAGCTGTAGGTTATGCAATTAACTAATCTGTATCAATCATCTGAGATTGTAAAAGATTCATTCAAAGTCTATGAAATGTAAGCTATAATTTAATGGATTCTGGGGAAGACTGTGAATGCCCTCAAGTAAGATCCATCCTTAACTAGAAGCCAATATTCAGTGATTTCAGGGGGAAGTTCCCTACAGCTTGTGGAATAATATTTGGTCTGAAGCAGATTCAGAAATGCCAGGGAAAAGGTTCCATTGGTTAATTCCAGAGTAGATTTGGCCTCACAAGGTACAGTTGCTTGTTTTTACTACTTATGGTGGAAGTCTCTGTTAGTGTGCAAGTATCAAGCTACTAAATATTTTTGTTTTGTGTGTATGTGTAGCAATTGTGGGCAGAAGTTTTTTAAGAAATACCAGATGTTTAAAAAACCGAAGTAAAAAAAACCCTAAACAAACCAAACCATGGCTGCCTAGAAGTTGTTTTTAAGTAAATGAGCTATGTTGTTGCTACTGTGTGTAGGTTGATTATATTTGGATATGGAAGCATTCTGTATCTCAGAGGCTTGATAGGTGGTATATGCCTGAGAACCTTTGCCTACCAAAATATTGGCAATCAAAAGCTTTCTACTAGTTTCTGTGACTGACAGCAAATACAGGTGATGGAGATTAAGCATCTGGACAAGTTGAAGGTAGTTGCCAGTTCAGTTTAGAACCCCTGCCATCTGTTTAGAGCACACAGGTACTGTCTTGATAAACGCAATAAACATATTCACTGTTGTGACTGATAAAGGTACGTTTGTATTTTGTGTTATGACCAGCTGTTCTACCTCATAGAACAAAGAGTGCAGCATGATAGCAATTACACTGTTGGTTGCAACTGCCTGAATTCAGGTTCTCTACTGGCATGGTATTTCAAAAGCGAAGATACAAACTCTGTCAACTTTACTGTTCCCTTCTCTAGTACTGTTTATAATAAAGAAGCTTGCAGCAATTTCTGCATTGTATTTGGAGAATATATTTGGTGGCTTCTCTGCTTTGAAAACCAACTTCCTTACCATTTGTCTTCTTTCCCAGTGTTAATAGGGGGACCATTACCTCGAGGACATGAGTTTGAACTACATGATGTTCGATTTCACTGGGGGAGAGAAAATCAGCGTGGTTCGGAACACACAGTTAATTTTAAGGCATTTCCCATGGAGGTAAGAGAGACACTGCATTGCAATGCAAAAACTAAATGCAAAAGATTTTTCTTTCATAACCTAAATTCCTGGTAGTTGAAAAGAGTTTCTTTTAGCTCCCCATTTTATTGCTTTGTATTTCCACAACAAAGTTATCTTGCTGAGGTGTGCTTTAGTGCAGGTAAATTAGGACATGCATCTGTAATAGAATGCCTCCAGCACTCATCAGATTGTATGATTAATTGGTCATAAAGTTAACTTGCAGAATTATTAACTTCTGTCTTAATAATATTAGTGTTCTAACAAGATCTGCCATTTCAACACTTCCTGTGTCACCTTGACTAATAGCTATAGATGGGGAGACCTAGCCACTGGAAATACTTCCATGGTGAATAATAACAACCTAGGTAAATTTGGAGTAAGTGTAGAGCAATTTGTTTATGAAATAGCATTACATACCTGAAATTTGAAGATTATGGGATATTCTTGGTTATGTTCCATTATAACTCAATGAATTACAAAATTAGGAACACAAGCAAAGTGATAATGCAGTCTGAAAAAATTAATCTGGTCATGAGATGTCATTTTGGGCTCCTGGGCAACCCAGGGACCTATTTCTCCTGCCCTCCAGCAGCCATCTATCATACTACTTCACATCCCACTGTCCTATTGCTTACATTTGTCATGGAGTGGCTTGGAGTATCCCTTAGACTCTGGGCTGTGAGATCTGATACCCGCTGCGTTGTTTGGCGACTTTAGCTTTGCATCTTTTATTTCATTTGTTGTGCACTATTGGTTTTAAAGAAATTCAAGATTTTTTCAGAGTTCTATGAATTATCCTTGCTTTATTTATCTATCATAATTGCCCAGGAGCCTGAAACTCTGTTTACTTTTTCTCTGTGTGGGTCAGTGCTAGAAATTTGTTACTGTAGCATTATATTCACAGGTGCCAGACTGGAATAAAACCGCTATATGGAAAAGGATATAAAAAGTATTAGAGTAGGTATTGCAGACCTAAGTGTAAAAAGTCTGTGGACTTACACCATCAATTCTTAGGGTTGTTCAGGTACTTTCTTTAAGAGTTGTGGGTCAGAGCCTGGTCTCTGCTGTTCACTATTTTGCACTGGTCCATCACACCCCCCCATATATAAAATCACTCATAGGGGCTTTGCAGGTTGAATTGAGGCAGATCATAGAATCATAGGATCATTTAGGTTGGAAAACACTGTTAAGATTATCAAGTCCAACCATTAACCTAGCACTGCCAAGTCCACCACAAAACCATGTCCACATCTGCATGTGGATCCACTTTGCATGTTGATTTCAGCACATCATAGCAGTGCAGGAGAATTACTTGAATGGGGAAGACTCATCAACAAAAGAGAAAGCAGAAGATTCATCTCTTCATCTTGGTTACCTGGCATATTATATACAACATGATTTTTATGGGCGTTAAGACCTTCAGGATACTGCAGTGTTCTCCTGAGGGAGGAGTAGTTTGCTCATTATGAAACACCTCTGCATAGTGCTTTTCCTCAAGGCTGATCCAGCATGTGGTGATCAAGAAATATTGTCATAAACTGTGTTGAGATCTGTACTTGGGAGTCTGTCAGGGACTTCTGTATCCTTGTTTATTAAGGATCACTTCTCAAACAGCTTTCGTGGTGTGTGGAAAGAGTCTGTTGATAATCTGTGGAAACCCTAGAACTCTACTCCAAATCAGTCCAGAGAAAAGTATACTTGACCCAGAGATGTAAAACAACAAACTTAATCAGTCATGAAGAGATTTCATTTTTCACCTACCATAAAAGCTGCATGGCAGCTGCACAAACAGAATTCTGGCAGAGTTGAAGAACATCACCTGGCAGTGAGCAAGCTGGTGTTATCCCATCTCTTGTATCAAAGCAGCTCTCAGCTAGATTGATCTCCCAGAAATAATTACTGAGGTAAAAATTCTGTAGCAGAAAAAAACCCTGACTCATAATATCCTTTGAATACAGTGTGAACGTTTAATTTTGCAAACAGATCCTTATGCAGATTAATTCTTCTGGCAGAAAATGACAGCATAGCATGCCATATCCAAGCTCACTTGCACACAGGTGTACTGGCTGAGCCAGTTCATCGCCTTCTGGCCTGTGCTGCAAGGAAGTGCAGGGCAGTTTGTTTGACAGATGAGCTGCTGTTCCTTCTGCTATATGCACAAAGAGCTGCTATATTAAATTGTCCAAACCAAATATTATACTTGAGCAATAATAAAACACGTGCTTGTGACCACTGTACATGTTTATGAAGTCTGAGACTCCAGAATGGGAGATTTTCTGTTTCCATTCCAGAGATTTCCCCATCTAGGTTTTTAGTTTTTTTTTTGGTGAATAGCAATCATTTTAAGCAGGGGACCAGGAAATCTTACTTTTTTAACTTCTAACATTAGCATTGATATATATATTTGTTGGAAAGCACCATATTCTGAACACATATTGGGCTTGAGTTTCACTGGGTTTGTTAGTTACTGAACACAGTGATGAGTGCCTATTTTGGCTATATACAAGCAGTCTGTTGTAGTCTATGCTTTTGTCCAGTACTAAATACAAAATAAACTGGCAGTTGTTTGTGCACAGATGTATGCCTAGAAATACGTTGAGCACCAAATGCGTAAGTTTGGATCTTCTGCCAGTGGAGTAAATCTAGTAGGTTGTTTTCCTAAAAAACTAGAAATGATTTACAAAAATTATAAGGATTTTCAATTCTCCTCTCTTTGTGGGAGGAACACAGGTCAAAGGGATAAGCAATATCTTGAAAACGTAAGTGCTTGGTTTAAGTGGGTGCATTAACAACACAACAAACTAGGCCCAGATTATATACTCCATTATGCTGTTATAAAACCTGAGCAGTTCTACGTAATCCAACTTTGAGTCTGAAGAGATCTATGTGAGGTGAGTATCTAAGACTATTTATTGACTGGAACAGCAGTCTGTTTTTTTAGGACTGCAGGCTGTAAAGCTTTATTTTATTACCTTAGACCAAATAGTTGTGGAACAGCTTCAGATTATCAGTGTAATGGTCTTCGTAAAGAATGACTAAAAAAGAGTGTTATTTTTCAAAGTTTGGAAGCTTACTCTTCAGTTACTTCCTTAGTCTCTTCATCTTTGATACCATAACTACTTTTTGAGAAATTAGGCAATATCCTGTATTAGTTGGGTAATATCCTGTGTCTTTTAATGTAATCTATTATTTATTTCTAGACAGCTGGGGCCTTTGCATGTGATTAGTATATATAGGTTCATGGTGAAATGTGTTAGACTACTAAGCTTATGTAACCCCTGGAAAAGCTCCTTGAAATAAGTCACACTGTCAATAAATGTTGTTCATGTGGCTTGGAGGTTGAGTTTATTGTAATTTTTATTATTATAAGAAGTTCAGCAAAGATGTGTTTCCACCTTCCTTCACTGAAGAAACCAGAGTGTTGACAGTAATACGCTGGTGTTATAATTTCCACCAAAACATCTGTGTTTGCAGTCATTCAGGAGGACAGGACAAAACAATAAATAGTTATCAGAGGTAAATACTGTAACATATCTTTTTAAACAAAGGAAAGCAGAGAGCTGTGCATATTGATACAATACTCCTCTCTCTCTCTGTTCCATTAAAACAAGAGCATGAGGGCCGTTCTTGCCTTTTGGCCAGAAATTGGAAGGAGACATTTGTGCAAATTTCTCCCAAAACCTTCCTTACCAAGTACTTCTACTGCAGATAAGCAGTTTTACTTTGCCTTTTGGCATTGCTTGTGCTAAAGATTTAGTAATGGTCTTAACAATGAGAGACTCTTTCTTGCCAGCACATGGATGCAGGTACCCAAGATTAGATTGTTCTTTACAGCACACATTTTCACAGGGAAGTAAAATCCACAATTATACATGTGATTTGCCTGGAAGTGTAAGAAAGATACAAATTATTTGATAACAGGAAGGGGAAAATGGATGAACCAGGGAACTACAGACCAGTCAGTCTCACCTCTGTGTCTAGCAAAATCTTGGAGCAGATTCTCCTGGAAGGCATGCTAAGGCACATGAAAAACAACAAGGTGCTTGGTGACAGCCAGCATGGCTTCACTAAGGTGAAATCCTGCCTGACCAATTTGGTGGCCTTCTGTGATGGGGCTACAGAATTGAAGGGCAGGGGTAGTGCAGTTGATGTCATCTACCTGGACTTGTGTAAAGCGTTCGATATTGTCCCACACAACATCCTTCTCTCTAAATTGGAGAGACATCAGTTAGATAGGTGACCACTCGGTGGATAAAGAACTGGCTGGATGGCCACACGCAAAGAGTTGTGGTCAATGGCTCAATGTCCGGCTGGAGACCGGTAATGAGTGGTGTCCCTCAGGGATCGGTGTTGGGACCGGTCTTGTTCAACATCTTTGTTGCTGACATGGACAGTGGGATTGAGTGCGCCCTCAGCAAGTTTGCCGATGACACCAAGCTGTGTGGTTGGGTTGATATGCTGGAGGGAAGGAATGCCATCCAGAGGGACCTTGACACGCTTGTGAGGTGGGCTGATGCCAGCCTCATGAAGTTTAGCCATGCCAAGCTCAAGGTCTTACACCTGGGTCAGAGCAATCCCAGGCACAGCTACAGGTTGGGTAGAGAGGAGATTCAGAGCAGCCCTGCAGACAAGGACTTGGGGATGTTGGTCGATAAGAAACTTAACATGAGCCGGCTTCAGTATGCGCTCACAGCCCAGAAAGCCAACTGTATCCTGGGCTGCATCAAAAGGAGCATGACCAGCAGGTCGAAGAAGGTGATCCTGCCCCTCTACTCTGCTCTCGTGAGACCTCACTTGGACTATTGTGTGCAGTTCTGGTGTCCTCAACATAAAAAGGACATGGAACTGTTGGAAAAAGTCCAGAGGAGGGCCACGAGGATGATCAGGGCACTGGAGCACCTCCCGTATGAAGACAGGCTGAGAAAGTTGGGGCTGTTCAGCCTGGAGAAGAGAAGGCTGTGTGGAGACCTCATAGCAGC